TGGGCTTGACGAGGACAGTGGTATATATATGCTTTTGGTACAAATAGCACTTAGAGGTTTGATTGCTTGCTTATCATCGATGCCAGAAGGTATTTAAAATTTGGAAAAATCTAAATAAATTCTGACCCATATTTTGTAGGTATTGGGTGCATGTAGTATAATTCGAACGTATCCTCGAAGTCAATTGGAATATAAGAAATAAATGATTTGATCAAAATCAGTCTTACAGTGTACCTTTATGAGTGATTCAAATCTAACATATATTCAAATTTGACATGATAAGGAAGCATGTTTTATAATAGGATAATAATTTCGAGAGTCCCTTATGTAATTCGCTTGGTCTGATATTTTTTTATTTTGATTTTGGACTTCTTTTTTGTGTATCTCTGGATATCGATACGACTTAGAATATATGGTATCTCATCTGTGGTTCGAATCTTATGTTTAATTTGCTAGTAAACGTCAATATTAAATAGTTCTTCGACCACGTAATTTGGTCTCGAAGTATTCTGATTTCTAAAATAATTATCACTCTGGTTCCTTTGGAATGACTGATTTGCTGAGGTCTAAATGTATTCCTAGTTGATACCGACATATATATCTATATGCTTCTGGTCGCGGTAATTATATTACTAAAGTGTACTTAAATCCATATGCGCGCCGATAAAACAAACACCAGCACATTATATTCAAATATGCATGCTATTATTAGCCAGTGGGCCATACATGCCTGAGCAGGCAGCGACAAGCATAAAGAAGTAGCGATCGGGTGCTCATGTTTATACTGCCGCGGAGTGAATGATATTTCTTACGCATGAGTTTCTCCATATATTTGGCTTTAAGAATAATATGAATTGCAAAAGTAATCTACCTGATGCCATTTCTTAGACTTTTTTGCATGTTTGCTTATACCTACCACTAGGATCTTGTACTTCAGGTATATATATATATAACAACAGGTAGGAAAATAATGGGTAAAATCCACAAAAAGGAGGAAAGTGGATTCGAGCAAAAAATAGGATAGGTAACCCGAGCGATACGTATTTCTGCTGGTTGGCTTCATCAGGCCCGAAATGAATGCACATATGAAACTACAAAAGTAGATACACATGCCCCATCATCCGGATACGGGTGTAACCTGAGGAAACGAAGTTGGAGGGAAAAAAAACGACACACGAAGTCCACAACAAGGGCCAACCTACACATTGTAGTATAAAATGGCTTTACAACCTCGAATTTTCAAGGAGACGTCTAACCACCACCACGCAGCCGGTTATAGCCACTTGCTGTGGTACTTCAAGCCCAAAGGATCTACAAAGAGAATATGATCATGCGGACAAAATTATATAACAACAGGTAGGAAAATAATGGGTGAAATCCGCAAAAAGGAGGAAAGTGGATTCGAGCAGAAAATAGGATAGGTAACCCGAGCGATACGTATTTCTGCTGGTTGGCTTCATCAGGCCCGAAATGAATGCACATATGAAACTACAAAAGTAGATATACATGCCCACACATCCGGATACGGGTGTAACCTGAGGAAACGAAGTTGGAGGGGAAAAAACGACACACGAAGTCCACAACAAGAGCCAACCTACACATTGTAGTATAAAATGGCTTTACGACCTCGAATTTTCAAGGAGACGTCTAACCACCACCACGCGGCCGGTTATAGCCACTTGCTGTGGTACTTCAAGCCCAAAGGATCTACAAAAAGAATATGATCATGCGGAGAAAAGTATATAACAACAGGTAGGAAAATAATGGGTAAAATCTGCAAAAAGGAGGAAGTGGATTCGAGCAGAAAATAGGATAGGTAACCCGAGCGATACGTATTTCTGCTTCATCAGGCCCGAAATGAATGCACATATGAAACTACAAAAGTAGATGTGTGGGCATGTGTATCTACTTTTGTAGTTTCATATGTGCATTCATTTCGGGCCTGATGAAGCCAAGCAGCAGAAATACGTATCGCTCGGGTTACCTATCCTATTTTCTGCGCGAATCCACTTTCCTCCTTTTTGCGGATTTTACCCATTATTTTCCTACCTGTTGTTATATACTTTTCTCCGCATGATCATATTCTATATATATATATATATATATATTATAACATGTATGAACATTCGAACACATCCATTTCGATTTTTCTTAGCAGGATCATTTTTTAGACAAATATGGTTGTTTAAGAAACTGAGTAGAAACCTGGACCCTTTGAGATCGTCCTTATATAGGTTTCACTGTGTATGACTTCGGCTGTATAGGAACAATTCTGTATCAATCAATGATCGAGTTTTGGAAAAATGAACAAACGGCTGCAAACCGACTAGCAGGGCTTGGGTGGTGAACAGTGTTGCCGTATTGCACGTTGCACGTCTATATTCGTTGCGGTTCCTTGGCGGATACCACCGAAACACAATACCAGCTCAGCACAGGTATTTCTCTCACTCTGTCCTGGTGGTAAAGGGGCGGGGGAATCGGTGTGTGAAATATGCCGAATGGTTATAATTATGCTAATGCCAAACAGTTCATTCGACCCGTAAATCTTGCGCAAATTGTGGGAGAAAATCTATGTAAATATGCCTAAAAGCTATCGCATTAGTTACAAGAACATACATAATGTTAAACAATTGAAATATAGCCTCCCCCATCCCCTGTCGTCCTCCCACCGAGTGAAAAAAATTCAAAAATGAACGGGAGTCTCTAAAAACGAAGCTAAAGGTTTTTTTTTGGAATTCTGAAAAGCTTTCCGTCCTTGGCATAGAAGTAACTTTGTGTGGAAGTTTAATCAAAATCCGAGCGTTACTTCCTATTAGCTGACAGACAGACAGATAGGAAATGAGTGATATGATTTTTGCGATGTACATGTCATACAACATCCAAGAAGATAATGTCTCATTTTCAAAACTGTTCGCGATTACAATACTTCCTGGTCAGCAGGAAGATGAATGTTGTAACGATTTCCACAACAATTTGTGGCACCCTTGGGGAATGCGCATTCAAATATTGAAAGCAGTATTTATAGGTATTAAAATGCCGTAAATTATATTTATAATTAATCATAATTTAAAATGTTTGCAACGTCCGCGCGCGGTACAATAAACTCCCTCGAAAATGGATACCTGACCTTAAATGCATCTATATTCATTTCCCGCTTTAACCGTTCTTTGCGATGCAGTTCCACGGAGATACCTGCTTACCATATTTAATAATTCAAAAGCAGTTGAGGTCAAATATTAACCAATTCATCAGGGAATTTAACGATAAGCCCCTTGCCATCCATTTTACTCACTCCGCTCATATTTTTTAGAGTTATTTAACGATAAAAATCACTTCATGATATATAGGATTGCGTGCATTTAATGTTCCACATCGACTTCGCCGGTAAGTTCCTGTCGCGAAGACTGATTTAAGCGCACTATCAGAGGTAGTCAGCTGTGAGTGAGCTGAACTAAAAATAATAAAAAGTAATACGGTATGATTTATTGATGTCACGCCATGCCTATAAATATTTTAAACATGTAATCTAACAAGTGCATTAAGATGATTTCTGGAGCTTATAATGCGGTTTCCTACTGGGTGTTGGCTCCTGAGAGGTTCGTACAGGTTTAGTTATAGACGCACAGCATATCCACTACGACAGCTGTCTGGGATTTGTTGCACAAATACATTAAAACACATCTGATGTCGGGAAATCAATACTTTTGTACCGGACATTAATTTAACAGCAACTCTTGACCAGAAACTAATTACGAATTTCATCGATTTCTTGTCTTCGGACTTATGGTGACTTGTATGCGGGAGCTTAGGAAGATGCATGTCGATTTCAAGTTCAATGCAGCATCTCTTTGAGATTTTTAGACTTCGCACTAAGCCGTTCTAAGTAGATAATACTAAAGTTACAGGATTACTTTACCAGAAGCGAATGCCAGTTCAAGATCAGACGCACCTTGAAAGGGCGCAAACACATTTGGTACCATACCGCGTAAAGGATAGTACTTGATACTGAATGTAAAATCGATGATTCGATTTGATTTTTGCATTCATCAGAATGTGTTAGTGTCAATCGAGGCATTATTAAATGAACATATGGATAATGTAACTTTATGACAGGCCGTAATCACAAGTGTGAATTCCTGAACCAAATTCAAGTATAATAGTCGATAGTTTGTAGTCCTAAAAAGGCTGGTGCCCAAGTTTGAAAAAATGTTTTTTATTAATGCCTCAAAAAACCTTGTGTCAACTTTGTTGAATTTTGTAAGTGTTGTGTATATTATACTGACTTGCCCAATTCGGATAAGTTTAACGCCCTAGTTGAAATAATTTCACACGCCGCTGACAATAGCATGCCTTTAAAAAACCTTTCATTTCTGCTCCCCCTCAACCAGTTTGGTGGGACAGGGACTGTACTGGAATATACTAAGTGACATATAAATCCGAACACCCAGTTTAAATGGTTTTATTTTAATAAAAGTTGGTGAATGTATTTATCTTACTGTAAATAACAAGTGAAAAAATTTTCAGCCTTATCAGTTGGACATTCCGGTTTTTATACTGCTTTTTTTTAATTCACTAACGCTCTAAAAATGAATATTTCAGCCGCAGTAAAGAATGAACGTTGGCGGATTTTGGGTTTTGACATCCTTTACGATCGGTTACGATGCCTAGAGTACGGAGACCTGTACGATTCCGTCAACTTAGTGAGTTTGATAGGGGCCGTATAGTGGGACTTCGGGAAGCTGGACTTTCTTTTCGGGCATTGCATGGCTTCGAGAAGGCCGTACGCAAAGAGCAAGGGGCACTGGACGCCGCCGTAGAACAACAGACCGTGAAGATCACCGCCTAAGATTATTGGCCTTAAGGGACCGTTTCTCCACTACCAGGTCCATTGCAAATTAATAGTTTGCAGAACACGGAAGACCTATTGGCATGCGAAGTGTTTACCGACGAATGAGAAGTTTTGGCTTGTTTTCATACCGGCCACACTGGGTCCTCCCTTTAACTCGAGAACACCGACGTAATCGCCTTGAGTGGTGCAGACAACGGTCACTCTGGGATCAGGAATGGAACAGTATTGTCTTTAGTGTGAACATATTTTAACAGCATTTTCTCATACGGATACTATTTTTTTAGATTGAGGGTATTCTGATGTGTGCGCATTTATTTTATTAGGTTTAATATCACGATGGTGGCTCCTACCACAAGGTTTTATTTCGGAGTAGTCTAGAATTTTTGGACTAAAATCTGTTTTGGCTTTCAAGTTATCGATCCACGTAGTTTTGTAGAGTATGAAATTTTCTGGAGAAAAAAAACTTTATCTAATGAACACTGACAAATCTTTCAATCACAAATCGCAATGAGTGGGTTGTCACGTGCCAAAATCACGTTACCTTTTTTTTTATTATGTTGATCACTTATGAGTAATATAAATTTCTCTCTCTATTAATGGTAGAGTGCCGATTCCTAGGCCAAACCCTTTTTATTGATTTTCTTTTGGCAAATTTCATTGTTTATTGATTGTATAATTTCACACGTATTATATGAGTATCTTACTTTCTCAGCGACTCAGTATTGAGTTGAAATTTTTTGGATACTAATGTTATAGTATTATTAACGACTATCTCGGGAATTTCCTCATAAAATATCGTCGGTCCCTCGTAGAGAGGTTCTGCCCATTGGCAACCAGCGCACCTTGTGATTTCTACACGTACTAACCTGTATAATATTTACTTTCCTATCAATATACCTTCTTTTTAAATCTGATTTACTATCAAGATACCTTATTTTACGAACTTGAGTCTACAGGCGGGATAGCGCCATTTTTTCTACTGCTTTCCGTTAAGGTTTTGGTTGTATGTAGGTTGTTTCGTTGGTAATAATTTCCGCATTCTGGGATATTAACATCCCAAACACCAGATTATGGAGTAGTACCTTTTTTTTGTACCTTACAGTTACTTGTTTTGGTTTGGGTGCTATCCCGTCAATTTCCTAATGGGATTTTAACCTCCTGCGGTAAGTTCTTTTTGTATACCATCAAACCACTTCCACTAATGCATGTCCTGAAGAAGTTTGTTCAATATCTGCTTTCTTCTACTAGAAAGGCATTTTGTGCGAAGTCACCCCCTTCCCCTTCACAAAAATCCCTGACGTGAACAGGTAAAATATCATTTTAGTTGGGTATGTTAGAGTTATTGATGTATTGATTGTTGCTGACTGAAAGTCTTAGAGTGTACTTGATTTTGTTTGGCATTTTTCGTATTCACATATAGGGCAGTGCCTACATGTCACCTTCTATTGGGCATTACATTACATTGATTATGATTTTGATATCTGAGCTGCCATAACTTTATTTTAGAACAAGGGCATATCACTTTAGTACGTTTTTATCTTTTCTTGCATTTGCTTTACTTTTCTTGTAAAAAAATGTACATGGGTTTTCTTCAAAATGAGGCAAGAAGCCCTTTGTGACGTTCCTCATGTCACTGCCTACTGCTGGCCACTGGTTTTTGATCTGTGCTTTTGTGAGCTGTGGACATCTCAGCTGCGTCTAGACCCGTAACTGGAAGAGGACCACTGTCCAGATAAGTTTAGATTTAGGCGATAAGATATTTGTAATGCCTTCATACGAGTAAATTTGCACGCCACCAGACAGCTCTTTTGCATTGACTGACCCTTAGGTTTCATTTATAGTGTTTTATTAATTTATTTATGAATTCGATAAAAGAAAGACGAATCACACCCCCATTTTCTCCTATTTATAAAAAAAGTCGTGGCAGCGCTTCGCGCATGTATAAAGCGTTCTGGCTGTACGATATCTATGGGTAATAATTCAATCCTTTTACCCTCAAGTATCAGGTACTCATAGTTTATCACGAGATACAAAGCTATTAATCACTGGCTGATATCCTCGAGGTATTTACACAAAAATAATATAACGACCTCTGCACTAATAGAGCCGTCACATTGCGGAGATCATTTCTCCGGCGTTTCACTTTTTCCATTCTGCCTTCTTGAAATTTTTCAACATGAGTAATGATTAATTTTCAGAGTGTATGAATTCTTAAGTAGTTGACAGGGTATAGCAGCGGTGTAGGTAAGAGGAAGAGATAGAATCCCAACATGAGAATGCGACTTGTAAACTGAACATAAAAAACAAGTGCATTAGGAAATACAGAAAAGTCCATCTGCAGTGACAGTCGTGTTTCAAGAAAAATCTAAGGACAGCTCGAATGTCAAAATCCATCCATCCATCTGTAGCCCTTGCAATAAACATTTTTTAACATCCGCCGTTTGAATTTTACGAAATTCTGGTATGCCCTAGCATTACTCGGGATGTCCAGACAAATCTAGAGACACATTGTATGTCATAATCCGTCAAGCCCTTGATCTTCCATTTTCAACGTTTTGAAACTTCAATATAGCGAGCGTCAGTGCTAAGATGAATCTTACAATACCTCTTAAATATGCCAAAATCACTCTAGCGCTTTAAGCTGTAGCCCGTAAAATAGGAACTTCAACTTCATTTGAACTTATTCATAAGAATCCGCCATTTTGCTTTTATACAGTATCACTATAGCTAATGTTACTCGCTCTGCTAAGACGAATCCAGATGTCGAAATCCACAAGACGTTTAGTCTGTACCGACGCGCAAAAAACATTATCCTCCTACTGAGGTAGTTGGGTAAATATTGACAAAATATTGAGAAATCCCGTATAAAACAGATGATACCTACTTATTTTGTATATTCACGAAAACCCATTACATTTTCTTCGACTTGACTACTGTTCCGTTATTGACAAAGGCTGGGAAACCGTATTGGGTCATAGTAACAGAAAGTTCAATGTTATAAAAATATTGCACGCTCTTTTAACATCTGACCGACTCGTTATTTCTGCGTCACTCTGTATCTCCAGCGTGAACATTTGTAATAATGCAATCATACTGCCAATACTGTGGGAATATGTCGTGAAGATTGCTTAGAATCAAAATATAGTGACAAAATTATGTGTTGAGCCAAGAAATATTCTTATCTGAACATTAGGAATAATAATGCCATCCAGAAAAAACTATAACGAAATAAGCTTTATACAAACTGTAAAATATACAATATGTATTTATATAATGCACAGAATTTTAAATTCGTTCAGATGATCAAAACCTAAGTGATATGGCATATCAAACTTGACTGTCCTATTTGCAAAAGTGAGTTGTTAACATCCTGCAGCTCCAGGAGCGATCCAAACCATATAATATGATTTCAAACTCGTTCTTTCTAAGGGAGCCTTTAGAATATATAACAATATATATGGTGTTTTATGTAAAAGCCCTGTGTTTTTAATACTTTTTATAATTACGGAGCTATCGTCCCTTTATTCAATAAAAACCCACCCAGTATATCAATAGTGATTCTTAGCAAGTATTTGCACTTCACTAATTTCAAAAAACCCCAATGTTTTTATTGTGGTACAGCTTTCGGAATCACTTTTGAAACTTTTTGCGTATATGTAATTTGAAAGTAATTAAACGATTGAGTGCAGGGTACTTAACCAACCTATAAGCCCCTTCCCACTTCAGTTGGCCCACTTTAAGATTTGTACCAAAATATGCCTTTATAAACTAAACTTGAAACTATTTACTTCTAAAACAATTTATTTTCTCAAAAACATTTTAGATACACCCTAGTCGTAAAAAATACATATTTGAAATCACTTAGACCTATAACTAATAGAACAACAAATAAACAATGTGCGAATAAATGAGCGAAGTTAACAAAGCAACAATTGAAAGATTACCATTGGGTAACATCACCTTTATTTTTTATTACGGCTGAAATTCTTTGGGGCATAGTGTGAACCAAGTTTTGTCAAAAATTTGGTGTAAAAATCCCATATTTCTTGAAGCTTTTGTCTCAGTTCGGTGATTGTACGAGCAGGATGTTGTCGTAGAACCTTTTTCATCTCGTACCACAAAGTTTCAATAGGTGACAGATCTCGACTGCTAGAAACCCATTTCAAAAGTGGTACATTATTTTCTTCCATCCATTTTATAGCCTTTTTTGAGGTATGGCACGCTGCACCATGTTGCTGAAACACAACATCTTGGCCAGATGTCAAACATTCTTCCATCACTGATAAAAGCGATTCTTCTAAAATTGCCAAATATTTGTTTTTATCCACATTTCCATCAATAAAATGAAGTTTTCCTACTCCTTTTGATGACATACTGCCCCAGACCCTAATGGATGTTGGAAATTTCACTTTTCTCTTCAGACAGTCAACATGGATTGCTTCATTTTTTTGCGAATAACTCTACTGCGACTGTCACCAACACAAACTTTGAATCGGACCTCATCACTCCATTGTATTGCACACCATTGTTGAGGTGTCCACTGTCTATGTTCTTTAGCCCATCTAAGCTGATTTTTCTTTTGCAGTGGAGTTAATAGTGGCTTTTCTTTGGCCTATAAACAAGTTGTGCAACTTCAGGGTTTTTACTTCACTTTTTTGTATAAGATAACTTACCTTGCAAGTGCTAAATCTCAGTTTGTGGGCCTCTGTATGAGTTGTGGACCTCGAAATTCTCCTTCCAACAGCGTCACTCCACAGAGCACTTAATTGTAAATAATTAGCACGCGTGTTTTTCACGATTATTCTTCTTAATGCTCTTCGGTCGGCATTTGTGATATTACTTTTTTTCACATATCGTGGCTTAATATTAACTGAACCAGTTACGTTATATCTTCTAACAATATTTCTCACACTGTACCGCGATAAGTCTAACAAAGTTGCAATTTCTGAGTTTTCATAGGATAAAAAAATTTAATTATCAGTAACCGAATTTTCTCACTAATAACCTTTCCTCTACCCATTTTGAAAACCTTAACTACCCCAAACTATTTTAAACGTATTCTGACAGCTGTGATTAATAAAAAAAATTATCATGGCTTTTACTTTTCACAGCCACCTATGAGTTATAGACTTATTTTGCATTGAAATGAAAATAGGTTGAGATTCTGTAATTGCAATATGTGTCATTTTTAAGCTGCAAATTTGATTAGGGAGTGATTAAGTTGGTGTTTTCTACT